GTAAGTAAAAAGATTGAGATCAGAAACTCACTGATTTGGAAAGTAATGATTCTCAAAATATTCTTATATAGCATTATAAAACAAAGATCAAGCAAACTGTATTTCAAATATGTTAATTTTAATTAACTGCTTTGATATCTGTTTTTTTAACTTAATTTTTAACTTAATTCTGCATTAAATTGGCCAACTTGCAATTCAGAAACAGAGTACCAACAGACCCTCACATCCTCTGTCTCAAATTAATAGTTAATTTGATGTCTTCAGAAATAAGTTAATTAATATACTTCTTGTTTTAAAGTAAAGGTGTTGTTATTTAAGTAAGTTGTTTTGAATTGGTGAGTAGATTTGAATTGGAGGAAGATGTGGTACAGAACTGGACTATGTATTTAAAGTGAAATGCTGGTTCTAGGTGTTTTAATTGAGTTGCAGAATAATAAATTACACACATTTACAATTGTTACAATTTTGTACGGTGTTCCTTCTCTGTGCCTCATCTTCTGTCTTCCTTCTGTTTCTGTTCTGTCCCTTTCAATCTTGTTATCCTGTGTTTCTGTTTGAAATTTCTAGTGATTTATCAATAAATTAATTGACTTGAGTAAGCCAGAAAATCCCCTTTAATCATCTATGTTTAGCTCTCTCTCCTACAGTTAGGCAAACACCTCAGATGTAGCTGATTGTTTTTAGGTTTTCTGAGATGTGAAGTTTCCAAATGTGAATGTTAGACGGTATTGATTTGAATAATATTTATTCTGCAACAATATACATTTTACAGTACATTTTACAGTTTTGAAGTACACATACTTCAAAAACAGAAGTGTAAAACTACTTTTCACAATTCTTATAAGCATGATTTTTTATATTATTATAACCAATAATATATTCCATTTTACGTATTTTAGACAGCTTGATATTTTTCTGAGCACCAAAATATGTATTATGTTATATGTATTAGTCCAGCGAATGTACGTTCAGCTTCTACTAATGTCATATAACACAGGCATATCTGCAGAATACTGTACGTCTCCTGTTCGTGAAAGAGATACTATAGTTTGATGCATGAAGAAAGCTATGGCACTGTGTTCTTATGTACGTGGGCACTATATCATTAGTGACAGCAGAGCCTCTCTGTTTGCTGTTCCTCTACTTTTGTTAATTCTCTGTGGACCGAAAAGGGAGTTTTTTTGTTTAAATCAAGACAAGAAAGAACTCCTGTCTAAGGTGATGCGTAAAAATGAATTTGCTAGGATGCAAAATTCAAGATTGTTTTGATTCTCTAAATCAGAGGTGTTAAAAGTATGGTCTGCAGACCAGGTCCAGCCCACCAGGCCCATTTGTTTGGCCCGTATGGCAGTTGCAGCCAGATCCATCAGCTGGGATTTAGTTTGAGTCTTGTCTCCAAGAGTCTTACTTGGCTATGTTGCTGTAGCAATGTCACATTCACAGAGAGAGAACTGTACACACACTCCTCTGAACTCCTCCTCCAAGTGTTGGAGCATCCCCAGCATCTGATCCACACCATAGTTCTCCCTGAAACTGTACCTAGTGTATTTTTTTGAAGAACTCAATCAGATATTTTGAATAATACTAATAATATTTTATCACACAAAATAAAGAATGTTGTGGTGTTCAGGCAAAGTGGAGAAGTGTGCATTTCTTCATCAAAGTGAATGGAAAGCCAGCCTTCCTACCTTATACAGCTGGTAAGTGTTGCCAAAGAGTGAAAGTTGTACATGTTAATTTAGTCATTTCTTCAATATCTTGAAGAAGGCTCTACAGCCAAAACACTGGGTGTCTTTTCTTCTCTTTTCAGCCTGGAATAACCCTTTACTTGTTCAGTTGCAGCCTATGCATGCTGATGCTCCTTGAAATTGGATACAGTATCTAGCAAATGCAAGTGATGCACATGCAAGTAATGCACCAAAAGTGGAAACTCTTGGGGAAATGAGGTCAAGCAAGAACTTCCGCACAGTTGCGGCTCATACATTAATCACACAATTATCATCCCAGCATGTTTAGAGTCAAGTATGAAAATGAAGGGCAGGCCCTGTTGCCTACAGTATATGTATGGCTTGCATGGATGCCATATATGACTCGGGAACTTTTAAAGAGGGGTGATTGTTGGGAAGCATTAATATTCATTAACTGAAATCTCTCATATGCAGCCTTGATCCATTTCGGTGACTAACCCAAAAAGTCTTATTTCTGTTTTGTACAAGGTTATAGAAGTGATCATTAGAGCTTAACTAGAGAACTTTCCATATGGAAATTAGATTCTAGTAGATAGGATGGATTTAGAAAGGACAGTTCTTGCTTAACTAGTTCAGTGGGTAGCTGTGTCAGCATGCGTAGACTGCAAAGGAACAAGTAATAGGTTTATTCCATGCTGAAAAGAGAAGAGAGAAAACACAACGTTTCAGCTGTGAAGCCTTCTTCAGGTGTGAGGAACCATACTCACACCAAAAGAAGGCTTCCCAGCCGAAACGTTGTGTTTTCTCTCTTGCTTAACTAGTTAACCTGTAGTTCTTTACTGAATAGACAGTAGTAACGGATACAAGCATAGCATGTTATGTACAGTAGTGTATTTACAGTATATTTAGATTTTTGTATGATTTGAAACCTTTGATGAAGTTGTGCATAAAAAATTGATTCTCATATGGAACATGATACACATTGAAATAAATACATGATTTTCAATTTTTTAGACATTCGGGGAAATTATAATATACAGTTCAAAACAAATCATTTAAGTCAAGGGAAGTCATGCTACAACTGTACAATGTACATAAGAGCAAGTAGGGATAAGAACCCATTTAGAATATATTGGGCAATGCTAGTCACTACAACACAAAAAAGAAACTGCTACTGTGGAATCATTTCAGAAGATTGTCAGGTGATGTTAGGAAATATATTCCAGACAGTTATGAAACAGGAAGTTGAAAAAATTTGAAATAAACCACAAGCACTTAATGTAAGAGAGACTGTTATTTTCCACTGTTCATTGCATGACAAATGCTTCAAATGAGTGGAATGATAATTATTCCTGATCTGATTTGATAAAATAGATGGATGTTTTTGTTGATCAAATACCTAAAGAAGGAGTGTTTTACATCTAGTTTATGAGCTTATTTAAACTATGTGCTTTTAGTTTTTCCATCAGGAATTCTATATTAAGAATGAATAATCTAACATTAGCCATGTTAGTCACTTAAATTAGCAGAGCTGTTATTTATGTTTATTCTTGGCAATGACCAATTACAAAGGAACGTTTAGGTTTAAAGGCTTTATACTGTAGTATCCACAGCAAGGAAATCAGTCTGTGTTTTGCAATGGAGCCTTTTGTGAGCGATGTATAATAAACTGAGATAATCTGTTATATTTGTTATACTAATAGAATATGAAACAAGACCGGAACGTGTTTTGTGGTTGGCAATATAAATGGATGTGTCAATGGGGCTGCCAGCTCTGGCTCACCTGGGTGTAACAATAAACACATTTGAATGACTTAATGTTTACTGCAGAAACACTCAATTGTATGCTAGTGTTTCATTTAAAAGCATTAATATTTACTGAAACAAAGTGTTCTGTTGAGGGCTAGATATTTAGATGAATGGTAATGGTCTTCTAAGATTAGCATGGATTTTCTCTCTTGTGCATTTCCATATCTTGCAATTCTTGAGATTTTAAAATTATTATCCATAATTAATGATGACTTATCTATCCAGTGTTTCTGTGACTTTGCATCAGCACTGGGGCTACCAGATATAATGGAAGATGTGGTATCTCATCGTTTAAATCTCTGATATTTCATTAAGTGTTGTGGAATGAGACATCCGTAGGACCAAATAAAAGACATGCATTCTCCTGAGGTATTTTTCCAATGTGTGTTCATTTAAGCTCTGCTTAAATGTTTAAATACATACTGATGCATCACCCAATTCTAATGTGCGCCAGTGCATTTGTCTAGAAAAGCAAGCATTTGTTTCTTGGATTTATTATTTAGAAAATATGCTTCTGTCTTAGGTTACTTAAAATAAAGCATTGTTTTTTGAAAGTGATTAGAAGTCATGTACTGTATGTTATATTATCTAGAACATATTTTACAAAGCATTTAAAAGTTAACATTACTATTATGACTCCTGATATGTGTTTCAGACATCTATTTTTGAAATGTGACGGCAACACTATTTGTCATATAATTTCTGGTGGTGAGACAGGATAGATGCAACACACTGCTGGCTTGTGATCTTTTTAAAAAAATATTGCTTTCACAGCGAACTGTATATTCACCAAAGGTTAACATGCAGTAAGGTGTACTTTATCTGTCACTTATCTTTGGATAAGGTGCACCTTATCGCATGCTATCCATTTGTGAATGAAACCCTTATTTATTTTTTCAGAAAGATTGTCCTTTGGTCTCCTAACATTTTAGCCGAAGTTTCCACAATGCCATCTGCTTTGGAAATATTACAAGTTGAAACTACATGCCATGCTTTCGTAATCAAAACATCTGAAGAGGGGAATGGCTTTGTATGCATCAAGCCTTTCACGCCCCTTAATTGTGCATCCAGGACTACTTTCGAGCTGCAGCGAACTGTAGGTAAATCATTCAAGCACATTTGCGACTTGCCTGATGTTGAATGCCTGCATAGACTTGTGTGGGAATCCTCTTTGCTGTGAAAAAGCTCTTATTGGATTATTGTGCTTGTCTGAGGCATCCTTTCTCCACTTCTTTTTATTTGTCACTGATTCAGTTCTCATTTGAATAACTGGTGACATGCATTGCATGGTACTGCGGAGTGTTTTTTATGTATTTTTAATGAAACAGAGCAGGAAATAAAGCTTACTGCCAGACCTTCCTTCTACAGAGCAGGCTAATTCACAGCACATGGATTGGGCTGCAGCTTATGAAAATACTAATGTAATAAAGAGCCCAACAGGGATTTGCTGAGGGCTAATGCTGTAATGTGTTAGTCATCCATTATCTGCTTCTATTTTTGCAGGTTGTGAATGAAGACTGATGCCGTGCTGTGAGATGCCATCCAGTGTGTTGAAGGAGAGATAACCTGCAGATTTTTTTTAGCTTGGAGCAAGGCAGAACCTCTGGGAGTGAAGAACTGGCCAGGCTGTCACTTTGCATTTTGCTTTCGGTAACCGGACATCAGGATTAGAGAGTGGAGAGTGCCTGCGTTATGCAGTTGTAAAAAGAGAGAGGATCTGGCTTCTGTGTACAGTTTGCAAAGAAAAACAGAAGAGCGCATCTCGCACCTTGGTGTACTACACATCCCCTTTTCCAAGCCTGATGCACTGATGAGAGATACGGGCCGAGTGACTGCAGAGCCCGTGAAGACGCCGTGTTGAATTGATGCTACTCCTGCTGTTCCGTTTCCCTAATTGTCAGGTCCACAGCTGATAAGAGCTGCTCTGCCCTTTCTTCTCACACTAATCAGGCCAGCAACAGCAGAGGCTGGATATGGGTGCCCTAATTTGCAGTGTGGTTTTACTCTCTCTGATTTATCAAAGCCACAGTCTGGGTTTCAAAAGCCCACTGTCTATTTTTAAAAGGTGGGTTATTATAACTTTTCATATGCATTTTAAACCAAGTTCGGTTTAGGCTGCAGGAGTGCTAGGGAAATATTGTAGGGTGAAAATGTTTCATGTATCAGTTTTGCATGTAATTTGAGAATTGTGCATGTGTAAGAAATTACAGCCATTCTCTGTGAATCATAAGTTATTTTCTATATTTAAAATGACTAAATTAAAGAGAATAAAGATGAATAGAGCCATTTTGTATCATCTTTCTATACATCTATATATATAGATCTTCTTTACAATGTACTTTAAGCTAATGTTATTTAATATTTTTAAGTAGGAGTTAAAAATTACATTGCAACTAAAATAAAATAATTTTAATGATGGAATTTTTTTCTTGTGTATAGCATAACATTAGTCTATTTTGTAATGCAACTATATTATGTAAGCTGCTTTTTTTAAATAATGAACTTTTATTAGTTTTATGACAGAAGATGTCAATGTTCATTATAACTACTTTCATTGAACAAAGATAATATTTGTAAGACTTTCAAATTATTTTTAGTGTCATAATCTTTATTGGTTTAATAAGTACAACAATAATTCATTGTTGTAACCAAGGTAAAACTTTTTGTGTTCTGGAAATTGCAACAGGTTTTTACAGGGCTTAACTTATTCAGTAGGATATATTGATAGTTATAATTGCTGTGAATTTAGAAGAAAGAAATTAAGAGTCTTACAGTAAAAAGTATTACACTGTACATGTTGTTGATGCATAAATTAAAGTGCCAGTAAATCATTTTCAGAGCCTACACAAGTGAAGTTATTTGTACTTTTTCTCCAAAAGGCATAAAAGGAAGTTGTTAAAGAAATACTGTAAAGGAATTAAAACTGTGAAGTTCCCATTCACAAACACAAACACATTAGAGGAAACAACTTTATTGTAATTTTACATTTACAACATCAGTTTTTATCCCATATGTAGGCAGATAGCCACCTGTTCAGTTTATATTAATGCTAGCAAAGTATAATATACAGAATGTATTCATGTGTCTCCTTCAGACAGAATTACTGCAGCTCCTTTGTGTTTACATGTTTACATCCTTGCATAGGAATATCTTTGGAACTGAGGAATGAGTCACCTACAATTTTCCAAGGGCCCTGTTAATGCTGAGGTGTTAGTCTAGTCCCTAAAGAGCACTAGATGCCTAAATCTAGTGGCAAAACAAAAATACCCAGTCTAATGTTTCAATTTTAGAAAAATGACTTTTAGTTACTAGATCCCCTAGTGCTACAATTTTCCTGAGGAACAGAAATTTCTTGCAGGACTCTGCTTGCTGGCACTGCACAGTGTCTGACATATAATTGAAAGTTCTAAAATGTTTTTGTCCAACATGGTATATAAATATAAAATATAGATATAGACTAGATAGGACTACTATTGTACCATGTTAAAAGCTTCACAGTAGCTAAACCTTTTATTTTCTTTTATTGCATAGGTATCAGGAAAGTGTCTGGTCCTCCCCTGATGAGTGCACTAGAACCAGACAGCCACCTATTCCACCTAACGCCCAGAATTTTTCTCTTGATATTCGCATGCCAGGCATTACACCTACAGCGGTAAGTTCAAAGAGGAAATCAGAAAAATGTTTTTTTTTTTTTAATTACAGCAGCTGCAGTTTATTTGAAGAAAAAAAAAACTAAAAAGCAGCAGCATGTCAAATTGAATTAAGCACCACAATAGCATTTTTCTAAACATGCTTTCTATCTTTGTTTCTAAGCCATGTCTTTCCATATTAAGGATGTTGACCAATTATCATACATGCTTCAGGTGCCAGTTTGGACATTATAAAATGAGAGTTAATAAGTCCTGTTCGATGTGATAAGCAGAAAAAACGATTCTGCAATATTAAAGAATGATTTTTTGCTGTTTCATTCTAACCTTTTTAGTTACTATTTTTTGTTTCTCAGTGTAGTAAGGCTGCATTACCTTTTTTTTCACTAGCAAGAGATGAGTCAGTGCTGCAGATAAGGGTGATTATTATTCCAGAGCTGGGCTGTGTGTTGTTTTGGAACATATTAAGATTGGTTGTGATGCTGTCGTAAATATTAGATCGGAGAATGAGATTGACTAAGGGCAAGAAATATATATTAAATCAATAGTTTTAAATGTAATTAAGATGAAACAGAGATCCCCTAGAATATAAATCATGCAAAACGTTTCACTGTCTGCACAGGTTAAGATATCAGTCTGACTTGATCTGTTATTATTCGTGGCTTATTCTTCTTGTGTTGTTCTGTGAGTCAACACTGAGTGATTCATTGAATGATTCAGCTGTAAAAGTGTTGGTGACAACACTTTAAACTAAGCTTTAAATTCTGTGATACTGATCCCCATACCCCCGGCCCCTTGCATATTTGGGAGGATCCTGCTAGATGAGCTTATTTGATCCGCTCGATTGAATCTGATCTGAATCAGAATTTCACAAAAAAGGTCAAGAAAAAACATAAAAAGCATTGTATTTGTTAAGGATGGAAGTATTGGTCTTAAAACACTTACCAACACTCTAGTTTGCGTGTAAATCTGTATAATGTAAGGCATTAAAAATGCAATAGATACTGTTGGTTCCAGTATTCATCCTTTGCATTTAAAGTACATAGTATTATAGTGTTTTTCATGTTTGGATTCAAGTTATAACTTGAAAAAGAAGAATTGTACAATATATTGTTTAGACATGGCCACACTTGATTGTTGTAAATTACTTCACCCATTATGTAGAACTACAGAGGAACCACATTTTCTATGGTCTCTTTGCTTGAAGAAGAGTACAGTAATTAGACTCCTTGGGGTTGAGTCCCTCCTTATGTGCCTGAATGATCACAGTTCTGCCTTTGTTTTGGAAAATGTCTTGCCTTGTGAGGTAAAGTGGTCATTATGGGTTCAAGAGTGTAATGCTTAATTGTGACTTCTCTTGTCTTACAGATTTAATATACAGATGCACAGACCTTCACTAACTATTGTAATTATCTTTGTTCCTCTGTTTCTGCCCATTAAGAAAACAACGGACATGATAGTTTCCCTGATTTTAGAAATGACCCGCAGGACTACTTCTTGAATGTTTGCTTCAGTGCAAAACATGTAGCTTTTCTACATTCAAATAAAAATTGATTAAAATGGCTGAAGTATTTATTTCAGTTTTCCCAACCTACGTTGCCTCCACTTATAATTTAATCTTTAAAGTTTAATGGCTTTCATTATATTCAAAGCAATTTTACTTTGCAAACACAAAATAATCACATTAATACGATAAATAAACATTGCTGTTTTAGATATGTGTTACTTCAGCAATTTTATGTAAATGTTATTTCATTTGGACATTCAAAATCAGTGAGCCTCTTAGCTTGGTTAAAAAAAAAATTGTTAAATCAGTAAATTGCATTATTTTACGGTCAATCGCCATTTTTTTTGTTTTTTTATGGTATATGGGTACTCTCCTGAGCTACTCTCTTGTGTGAGTTTTGTAGAGTGAAAGAATTCAACTTTAGGAAAGGAGCATTTAGTATAACATTATATCATTTATACATACCAGTTCCATGTTATTGCTGCAGAGCTACTGTAAGTGTCAAAATTGTGCCCTAAAGTATAATGTTTAATAATGAAGATAATATGCAGTTTTCCTATTTGGTTTTCTTGCCTGTTTTACGACTTCATAAATTGAGAGAAAGGCACAGAAAATAAGAGGCGGTTTGGATTATTATTAAATAATAAAACTAACTTAAATCCAGTAAATACGTATCTATTAGTTGTGTACAAATGTAACATATAACTAAGGTACATTTTTCATCAAAAGATTATGCTGGATTAGGCTAACATTGAGGAGTGTGCAACATCAGTTTATGTCCTGGCCTTAACATTGTAGGTAAGACTTAATGACACAGTCACAGTTTGGAAATTGTGATGTACAAAATAATTCAACACAATTAAATCAAAATTAAAGGTTTACTTTAGTAACTTTGATGCCTAAAATGTCCAGTTTCTAAATGTAAGAAAGGACTATTATGAAAATCTGACTTTCATTTTCCTTTGTAGTTCTCTGAAAACTGTTTTTTTTTTCTGTTAGTAAATCAAAATAAGGCTTGCAATAGTCCTGTTTAAATAGAATGTGACAAAATAATAACATAATATTGACAGATATTCCAGCATAGTTGTGTATGTCCAGTTTATGATACACTACCTACAATACACTGAACTGTAAAATAACTGTAATTCGTTTTATTTTTAGTCACCCTCCCTCCAGCTTTTTTTCTAGTTTACATGTGTGTTTAACTGTATGCAATATATGATATTAATATGATGTGATTTTATATCACAGATTTTCTTGAATGCTGTGTCTTCTGGGGAAAAAAAATAAAATCCAATTGCTTGAGGTCTTTTTAAAGGAAGAAATTAGAGATAAATGGATTTGATTATAAGAGTTGTCAGACCTTTCAAAGAAATGATCTGAGTAGGAGATATTTCCCCCATCACGGCAGTTTCTTCACCGTATTGAAAATGTACAAAAGTGCTTCTTATTTTGTACTTGCTAAGCAGTGAGTACAGTCATTGAGAGCTGTGCTTGACAAACGTGCAATTAGAAGAAATAGAAACCTGATGTTTAATAATATGGAAGATTACCAGTTGTAAGGCAAAATACATGGTTAGAAAGGGACTTATTTTGTCTATTGGATTTCATTCAAGTTTCTGTGCTCCCTTCTGATGAGGTTGTATTTCTCTGTAGTGTAAGGGCAGGCTCTTTGATTTACGGAGGTTGCTTAGTCATGTATTATCCTGACAAGTGAAAGAGGCTGGACAGCTGTTATGTATCTGCAGAGAACAAGCTCGCTGACCACCTGAATTATTTCTCACTGATATTTGCACCAGTAGCTAAGTAGCGGTATTTGCTTTAAGTGATGTATGGTAGCCACACAAATGCATTTCATTTTGGTGGCTGCTGCAGTCCAGCTTATTACAAAGGGAAAAATCAATACACAATTTAAAAAAAAACTTTTATAAGTTAAAATGCGTAATTTCAAAGCCTTATAGATTTTTAAAGCTTGATATGATCATTTTTACAATTGTTGATACAATTGTATTATTTTGGTGAATGAAACGTACAGGACTGATAGATGAATCATCTGGATAATTTGTTCTGCGGCTTTCCAAATGTCAGAACTCTGGTTATCAATGAATAGCTCTTGCTGTTATTAATGGTATATATTTAAAGTGTAATCAAATCATATTTCACAGTTCCTCTCTATTTAGAATAAAATCAGATCATTTTTTTTTCATTTCTTTTTTTTGTAGTCGGATTCCTACATGTGCATGGCAGTTCGAGTACCAAGGGAGAGAGACTCATACATAGGTGAGTAAAACAAAAATGGAAGATAGATAAATGCATGTTGTATGGAACTATCCTTCATTTAGAGACAGAGTGGTTCCAAGTGAAAAAAGCTTAAAAGCGCTTCTGAACTTCAGTTTAAAGACCCAGTGACAAAATGTGTCCCACTAAATTCTGAAACCAGTTTATGGTTGGTTTATAATAATAATTGCTTACACTTATATAGCGCTTTTCTGGACACTCCACTCAAAGCACTTTACAGGTAATGGGGACTCCCCTCCACCACCACCAATGTGCAGCCCCACCTGGATGATGCGACAGCAGCCATAGTGCGCCAGAACGCTCACCACACATCAGCTAACAGTGGAGAGAGCAGAGTAATGTAGCCAATTCATAGAGGGGGATTATTAGGAGGCCATGATTGGTAAGGGCCAATGGGAAATTTGGCCAGGACGCCGGGGTTACACCCCTACTTTTTTCGAGAAACGCCCCGGGATTTTTAATGACCACAGAGAGTCAGGACCTCGGTTTTACGTCTCATCCGAAGGATGGCACCTGTTTACAGTATAGTGTCCCCGTCACTATCCTGGGGCATTAGGACCCACATGGACCGCAAGGTGAGCGCCCCCTGCTGGCCCCACTAACACCTCTTCCAGCAGCAACCTTAGTTTTTCCCAGGTACTGACCAGGCTCACACCTGCTTAGCTTCAGTGGGTTGCCAGTTGTGAGTTGCAGGGTGATATGGCTGCTTGGGGTAACAAACAAAAAGAGGCAATTTGTCAGTTTAGAAGCTCTTGACTATACATCTGCAAAGCCAGATATCCCTTTGAATAAATACTTTTAAAGTCTCTGTCCTAAATAGATCCCTTTAAAGTTTGTAAATCCTAGAATCTTATATATATATATTTGATATATACTGTATATATAAACATCTATGTAAATCTTGTGGGTTATTTTTCTTAAGTCAGAAGATTTCTAAAGGTAAGTTTGAATGCTCAGACTGTAAACATCAAAAAGGTATTAACACAACCAATCAGAAAAGGCTTGAACACATGTATTTGACTTAGTTCATTCATCTAAATCCCCAGTGCAGTACTGTTGTTATGTAAAAGAGCATGTCCTTGTAACGGTATTTGTCAGTTTATTATAAGAAACTAGATTTATAGCCTAGTTTTCATATACTCATGTGAACGTAAGCAAGGTTACACAGAAGAGGAGGCCATTAAGCCCATATAGCCCATTAAGTTGCTAATTGATCCAGTGATATCATCCAGCCATTTCTGTAATGGCTGCAATAAAAAAACTTACTCGATTATTTTCTTAGGAAGTCTTATAATGTCAGTTACTGTAGGTGTTAGTTGCTCCTAAACATCTTGGATCAGAAAACATTATACAAGAAGATGCATTGAAAAACCACAGCACATTACCCTTTTCATCTAGTTTATTTGTACAGCTTCACCACTAGTCTCCAACCAGGTTCTTTTGAAACAGATATGTGTTCCCAATTTGCTCCATAATCAAAGACTGCTTAACTTCAGTTTTTTATATTTGGGGCTCAAATTGATATCTGTTTTCACTCTTAAGATATTGATATTGAGAATGTATTTGGGATTTTTAATTGGTATCAATTAAACAAGTGTGTTGTCTGAAATATAGACAACTGCACCTCTTCAAAGGGAAAAGGCTATTGATACTGTACATTGCCATTCCTACATTTTCCTACGTGTTTCACAAGCTATTATTTTATCTTTATGTGTTAGTTGTCTAGTATTATAAAACTGGCAGCAATATCAGTTCCCTGAAGCTATTCTGCTACTGTGCTATCCTGTGCTATCCATTAATGTGATGCTGGTATCAAGCATTTTCAGATTGTCCAGCAGTAAGTTATTATTTCGGGTGGGTAGCTGTGTCAGCATGCGTAGGCTGCAAAGGAACAAGTAATAGGATTATTCCATGCTGAAAAAAAGAAGAAAGAGATCACAACGTTTCGGCCATGGAGCCTTGCACACCTGAAGTGTGTGCACACCTGAAGAAGGCTCCACGGCCGAAACGTGTTCCGTGTTCTCTTTCTTATTTTTTTCAGCATGGAATAAACCTATTACTTGTTCCAGTAAGTTATTATAATTCTCATTATTGTTGCTGTTATTTACCGTTTGTTGTACGGGTGCTACTTTCTGAAAAGGCGGCCTTTGCAACCAGACAAAAAAATCAAACCCATCATACATTATAAGCAAGTGCTTCTAATCTACATTTTGCTGTGAGCTTTTGAGGAACAACATGTGTGTGAATGTGTGTGTGTGTTTTTTAAAAAGATGACAGGTAAATGACAGCCAGCAATAGCTAGAGCAGCACCAAGTCCATGTATACCGCCAAATCAAGCACCATCTGCTGAAATCAGCTGTTTGTCATCCGGTGTACGATTACCACCACAACCCCCTTCCTTCCTGCTACTTGTTTACCTAAGGCTTGATAATGCTTATCTGTTGTCATTATATGTATTTATGGGGAATGATCAGTGGACAAAAAACCTTAAAACCCCTTTTATTTCGGAGAACTGCTTCCTCATTAATTCCTCATTAATTATGGAAATGAAAAGCACCTCCCACATTCACAGCTACTGAAACAGATACACAGCAGTCACCTTTGCAGCAAGTGCTTATTGATTAATGCAGCGCTGCTGGTATTAAGCCTTTCGTTAGATTCATTTTCTTAATCTGTTGATAATCCTTTGATAATTTAATACAATTTATTTTGATCTTAATGTTGTCAAAAAGTGTCTGTCTATTAGGCAATTAAATGTTGTTTATACAGGGACTGCTAAAGAGAATGTTGAACGGTAATGTGATTTGCAAGCATAAGCCATATTCTGTAAACATACTGTAAACTACTTACAAGGGAGCATGCTAATAACGCTTATGGCTGTGTTTGATTGTAACACAGGTGAGTAGTTTGCCTTGGGTTGGATCTGACCTATTGGTCAGGTGAAAAAAACATGGGTCTAGTCTGGTTTTGACATGTGAGCTTGTTCCTTAAGACACCGAAAAACAGATCGAATGAAATCACTCAGCCAGCAAGTGTGATGTCTACATCATGCACTTTCTTTCATTTACACAGTAGACCACTAAATAAACCCTTCTGTTTACTAGTGATTAATGCCAAGCCTCTTATTACCTAATTATTACAGCAGACTGCTGAGGGATGCTCTCAGATGCTCAGTCCACTCAGGCAGCTCTGTACTATCATGGCATAAGCAATAAAGAGTATCCTTGAAGGAGGATTTGGCCTTGTACTTCCCTTCAGTATTAGGAGAGACGGTGCTGAAAACATGTATAGGTGGTTAAAGGAGAGTGTTGAGTCTTACTAGGGTGGGAGTAGAGGGTAAAAATCAACAATGTGAAAC